TCAAAAAAAAAAAAAAAAAAAAAAAGTGTTTGGAAGCTTATTACATAGTGTTGTTACAACTTTTGAGAAGATGATTGGGTAATATGTATAAAGAATTTTTACCATATATTATTACATGCATTTCATTTCTAGACAGTTATTTTAAGAATATAATAGTGACATGCACAAGTATTTAATATACAGGGGTGTTCATCAGAAAATTCCTTATAGTTGTTAAAAATTAGAAACATAAATTACCACATAGAGATTCAACATGTAAAGAGAATACTAACAGCTATTTGATATCATGTCTGTGAAGAATTTTTTTTACATTAAATGGGGTATAAAATATATGCAGTCTGATCCTAATTTTGTTTTAACAAGTATACTTGTTAAAAGTATACTTGGGCACACGTGTGTGCTTGTGTGCAGAGAGGGGATATAGCTATAAACATCAGTCTTTTAATAATCATTTAAAAATCCAGTAAGTGATATTTTTTAAATAAGAGAGAAGGCAATGAATAGATAGGAGACAGAAACTGCTCGTGTAGACCAGAGCTTTTCAGACTATCTCTGGTGAAAGGATAGAATAGATAGATAGAATTTTAAAATTTCTAATGCAGGGTCACCCCAGACATGGTCGTGATGCATGTGACTGGAACACACCTCATCTCACATGCAACTCACCACATCTTTGACAATGCCTGATCTATTCCCTATTTAACAAGAGGTGTCTACCAATCATACATTGAGTGTTACAGTCATGTCAGATTGCTTTGAGAGTTTCCAAACACTTGTTTTCAATTTCTGTGCTTATTTTTTTTTTATCACAGAACCAGTAATAAAAGATCACAAAGTGGCAGTGGCTCATGGACCAAACTTTGAGTAACACTGGTATAGACCCCTCATTTGCGGGAGTGGGCTGTAAGACAAGTTGTGGTTTGCTAGTAAAGGCCACTCACGTGTTTGAAATGGCTCTTGGTTATTGAGAGCTGAGGTCCTCTGTGACTTGGATCTATTAGGTCTATTTAGAACCACATTATTGCATCATTTATTTCATCACATTTGACCCTGCTAGTCTCAGGCTCACTGTGTCTCTGTCTCTGTTTGTGCAGGTTATGGACTGGAGGTGGACATGTGGGCTGCAGGAGTGATCCTCTATATCTTGCTGTGCGGCTTCCCCCCCTTCCGCAGCCCAGAGAGGGACCAGGATGAGCTCTTTAACATCATCCAGCTGGGCCACTTTGAGTTCCTACCCCCCTACTGGGACAATATCTCTGATGGTGAGATTTGGCATTCCCCATGCAGGAGAAGGGGGGATAGATTTTTCAGGTTGGATGTGTAATAGGGTATGCAGGGGACCTCTATGGTGCCTGGCGTGGAATTAGGCTGTCGTCATGTCGTGTCTTACCCTTTACTTCCTCAGTAGTTTCATGTAGCTTTGTGCAGCACTCCAAAAACACGACTTGCTTTGAGATATAATCAAAATAGTCTAATCACCAAGTGCTTTTCCTTAAGTCAATTAAAGAACTTCTGAATTGAGAAATATCAGAAACATAATTCTCATTTGGAAAGAGAAAGGCCATCTTATATACAGAAGTTTCTCTGAATGGAACAGACTGAAAATGCTTATTTTACACATGCATCATCAAAGGTCCTATGGGGCGAGCATACACATACTTGGGGTGCAGGGGCTCTGCAAGGTTGCGGTGAAAGTCTCAGTTATTTTTTAGTAACCTAGAAGCATGCATGATTCTCCTCCCTTTTGGCCCTCCATTCTGTTTGATTCCAAATGAAATCTTTCCCCTTGTCTCTACTGATTTTTGTATACTACTCATTACCCCGGTAAAATTGAGAACTAGATAATTGGGTATTTGGTGTCTTTGAGTCCTTAGCTTAAAAAGTACAATAGGAGAGATTTTTTTTTTTTCAATTTCCTCTACACATGCCATTTAAGCTGCCTTTATCCTCAGCTTCTGTTTCCTCCCTGGTATTGGGGGATGAGGGAGGGAAAAAGCTTAATTCCCTCCCTACCCTAAATAAAATAGGGACTGGGTAGCTTGCTGTAGGTAGGGTCAGGGTCTTGAGCTAATCAAGGCAGTGGCAACTGAGGAATTGAAGGACCAAAAATTGTTTTAGAACATTCTAAACTAGGTGTGGTGGCTCACAACTATAGTCCCAACATTTTGGGAGGCCGAGGTAGGAGGATTGCTTGAGGCCAGGAGTTCAAGACCAGCTTGGGAAATACAGTAAGATCCCATCTCTACAATAAATAAAAAAATCAGCTGGGCATGGTGGCACATGCTTATAATAATCCTGAGCTACTTGGGAGGCTGAGGCAGGAGGATTGTTTGACCCTAGGAGTTTGAGGTGACAGTGAGTTACTGCACTCCAGCCTGGGTGACAGAGAAGGATCCTGTTTCTAAGAAAAAAGAAGGAAGGAAGGGAGAGAGGTGGAAAAAGAGAGAGGAAAGAGAGAGAAAGGGTGAGGGGAAAGGAAAGTAGGGAGTTCTACGCAGCCCTATATTTAGATTTGGACATAGGTGTCCTGCCCTGGGCCTTAGGCCTTAGAAGATTCTGCTCTGGTCATATCCCTCACAAAGTAATGATACTATGGGGCCAGTGGGATGTGCTCCTTAGAGCCACATCTAGGCTACAACATGGGGACCCCAGAATTCCCTGTTCGTATAGCTCAAGCTCATTTCCAAGGTTTGTGAGACCTCTTTCTAGCCTCTCCCCACAGTGCTAAAGGGTAGCCAAGGAACAGCTGTTTGGAGGGTGCAGAAATAACTTGGCTATGTTGGCTAGGGTATAGAGTTGTCCATAATCTGACAGGGGTCTGAGAATTCTAAACTTAAATCTGGCCTTCTAGCCTCTGGGTCCTTTGAGGATGTTGAAGGAGTGATGCTGGTCAGGGTAGGGCTGACCACTTTGTGGGCAGAATTTTCCCAGCTTGAAATGGAGGGAGTAGGAGAACTCTGGGGCTTCCATACTTAAGAAGTGGCTGGACATGGGTATAGGGAAGGAGGTGATTGATGAGTGAGCAGGTGATATTGAGCAAGAGGCACCCTTCAATAGGGTAAAAAAAAGTGGGGGGATGTTTTCTTCCTGTCTACTTCTTGAGTGATTGGAAGAGCAGGCTCAGTGAGCCAGGATGGAGGAGCCAGCATGCCAGAGAGAAACCAGTTGTCACCACAGTGCTCTAGAATCAGTCATGGTCTTACGCTGACAATGTAATTAATTTCAAATTTGCACTATTTACTCTTTAGATTTCTTTACATGCTTTTCAATATTATCAATATGAAGGCATACTTACTGACTTAGGAAGTTTGAACGCATTTTATTTAACAATCTGTTAGTTTTCATTTAAAGCCTAAAAGTATTCTGAACATATGATACATGGCCTCCATTTGTTCTTTTGCCCTGAGTGCCATGGATATTAGGCGTGGGGCTGCCTTCATGGCTCTAGAGAAATGAACAGACATACTCTAGAGCTGTGTTGTCCCGGACAGTCGTCCCTGGGCACGCACAGCTGTTTAAATTTAAATGTAAATTAATTCAAAGTAAATAAAAGTTCAGGCCCTCAGTCTTGCTAGATTTCAAATTCTCAGTAGTCCAGGGGTAGTACAGATACAGCACATTCCCACCTTTTATTGGACTGTTCTACTCTAAAAACACAAAAGAACCTTAGCCAACCCACAGTGCTAACGCAGATGTTTGTATTCTGTTTCATATGTGGGAAAGAAAAATTCAGAACCATTTTCATTCATTACATTTTCTCCTTCTTTCCCTTCAATAGCTGCCAAGGATCTGGTGAGCCGGTTGCTGGTGGTAGACCCCAAAAAGCGCTACACAGCCCACCAGGTTCTTCAGCATCCCTGGATCGAAACAGGTGGCAAGACCAGCATGGTGAACCTACAAAAGGAAGTGTCCCCCAGCAGCGAGGGCCACTGCTGGAGCCAGCACAAGAGGGTTGCAGAGCAGACATTGTAGTCACCACCTCAGGCATCTGTTCAGTCCCCAGTTTTGCTCAAGGACAGAGAAAAGGATAGAAGTTGGAGAGAAAAACAGTGAAAGAAGTTTCTTCATATAATTGGAGAATCAGGGGAAGAAACACTCAGTAGATTTTAAAGCATATTACAAAAGTAAACTGAATTTTAATGTTAAATGTTGTAACATTTTTAGATTTGTATATTTGAAGCCTTTAATACATTTTTTTTTGGGTAAGAATTATCATCAGCGAGGGGTTTTGGTAATAATGGTGTATTCTGCTTTCTCTTTGTAATTATGTTCATGCTGTACTACAGGAGTGGTGCTTTATCAGGGTCTAAACTCCCCCTGTGAGATTAATAAGGTGCACTGTCATCTTTCTGTGTTAATAAAACATGCTCTGAATAATGGAAGTGGATCTGTATTCTGATTACTTCTGAATGCTGGTGATGAGAGCCAGGGATTTATAGCTCAGATGTGTCTTCTGAAGACAACATGACCAAATAGAGTTGTGACGAACACTTGATTAGTTGACAAGATCTGTTTGTTTAGGATGTGCCAATCTAGGTCTTTAGCATTTTATTCTTAGTGAAAATCAGATTTCAGGTGCAATCTGAAAATGGAAAGACAAAATCAAAGAATCAGTTTTGCCCCTGCAATACCCAGTTATATCACTTTCAACCCACTTATCCCTGAGCTAGAAGTTAGGCTGTGAGTATGTTAATGTTTTCAGATCATGATCAACCATTCAGTGCATTAATATGTTAGAAATGCAGTGAATGGATTACACTGGAACTTGAGTTTAGGTACATTCCTACCTGCAGTGCGTACATTCTAAGGACACAGAAGACATGTTCTAGATTTCTGTACCAATATGTTGGTCTTTTTCAGATGATTTTGGAAGTATGTGGGAGCTGAAAGCAAAAACATATTTTGATCTATACAAATTGACCTTTCTAGATTGTGTTGGCCTGGATAGTAGGCCACAGAATCAGTCAAAATTGTGGATTTCTTTTTTTTTTTTTTTTTAAATAGAGACAGAGTCTCCCTTTGTTGCCCTTGTTAGAGTGCTGTGACATCACAGCTCATAGCAACCTCCAGCTCTTGGGCTTTAGGAGATTCTCCCGCTTCAGCCTCCCAAGTAGCTGGGACTACAGGTACCCACCACAATGCCCGGCTATTTTTTTGTTGCAGTTTGGCTGGGGCCGGGTTTGAACCCACCACCCTCAGTATATGGGGTTGGCACCCTACTCACTGAGCCACAGGCGCTGCCCCAAAATTGTGGATTTCTTACTTCTATTCTACTTCCTTAATAGTTCTGAAGTCATCTAGGTGGAGGAGTGTATTAGGTAAACAGGAATAGCAGTAGAGAATTTAGTGTAAGGAATTGCTTAAATGAGTGTTGGGAAATGGAAAAGCACAGAAGAGACTCTGGAATAATGTAGAGAAAATAATTGCAGGAAGTGTCTTTCACTTGTAGGTAGAGAACCAAGGGAAGATTGGGTTATTAGAACCCAAGGACTTGGAGGAGAAAACCCTTATAGTGGATGCTATAATGTGCCACCCAGATGCTCCTTCAATAAACTTCTTGGGCTGCTGCTGGCTGAAAATTCTCAGCTGTGAGCTCTCTGCAGGAATTACCTTAGCTGGAAAGAGTCACCTTGCAACTCCTTCCCTGGCAGACCCCATCTAATGACTGGTTCATGTAGCGTATGAAAGCCTGGCCCCTTGGCCCCAACTAGGGGCAATGCTGAAGGGCTATCTTCAGAACTCCTAGTGGAGGTTGACTGAACCCTCATCACAGCCCAATTTCTCCCAAGTCCAATCTTACTTCTTTCCCTTTGGTCCTGAGACCACTCCCTAATAAACCTTTTGCCCACTAATCTGGATTTCAGAGTTAGCTTCCTGGGGAATCAAACCCATAATGCCCCCTAGAAACTTGAAGCCACTGAAAAGAGGTACCAGCTGGTGCTTTAACCTCAGGAGCTCAGAGAAGGGGCCCTGTGCTACTGGGACTCAGATTCCCGAGGGAAGGGTGCTGCCCATCAGGCAGTGCAATGTTACTCATTCTGAAAATGTGGAAAGAGGTTGGAAACTGAATCCATTGCTACCGGAACATCTTTTCATGTCACTAAATCCAAAAGACAATTTTAAATCCTCAAGTTAGACCCCTTTGACCACTGTCTTTGAGTAATTCCTCCTGTTGACTTCTGTGATGCCACATTTTCCTGGTTTTCTTCCTGCATTCTTGTCTGCTTTGGATGTCCTGTATAGGTTCAGTCTTCTCTCACTTGTAAAAGTTGTAGTTTCATCCTTGTTTACTAGGGAGGTAAAAATTAAAATCACAACAAAATATCACTCGATACTCATTAGAAGGGGTAAAATTAAATGGCTAAAACGAAAAGGCTGACTATACCAACTATTAGCAGGGATGTAGTGAATTGGAACTCTTGTACATTGCTGTTAGGAATGTTAAACAGTTCTTCCCCTTTGGAGAACAGTCTGGTAATTCCTTAAAAGTTAAACATATATCTACCCCATGATCTAGACATTTCTCTTCTAGGTATTTACCTAGGAGAAATTAAAGCATATGTCCTACAAAGACTTCACAGTATTCACAGGTGCTTTTGTTTGTGGTAGCCCCAAAGTAGAAACATAAATCTCCATAAACCAGTGAATGAAGAATAAAGAATTTGTGGTATGTCCATACAATAAAAAACATTCAGAATAGGAATGAATGATTGATACATGAGCAGCATGGATGAACCTCCAAATAATTAGGCTAAATGAAAAATGTTCCCCAAAGGGACTATATTATGATTATTACATTCATACACTATTGTAGAAAATACAACCTAATCTATAGGGACAGAAAGCAAATCAGGGGTTTCCTGGGGACAGACATGGAGAAGCAAGTGAGGGAGAGACTACAAAGGGACAGATGGTAACTCTGGGAATGATGGATATGTTCATTATCTTGAATGTAATGATGGATTCATGGGTGTACATATGTCAAAGCTGATTATATTATATACTTCTGATAAGTGAAGTTTATTGTATGTCAATTATACC